CCCCAAAACCCCAAAACCCCATAAGTCAACATGAAAGTAATAAAAGATACAGATTAAAATTAAAATTTTAAAGTCAATAATATAAATAATTAGTCCTAGTGTATGTTCAAACATCTATAATTTACACTCATAATTCAATTGAGTTTATTACATCTTTGGTAATCAATGCTCTTTAACTCTAATTAGTTAATCTGATCCTAATCAGTAAACATGCTTTTCTGGCTTTTTCGATGTACAAGGCGGGGAAAACGGCGATACAGAATTTACTAGTATTGACTACCAGAAAGATGACAAACTAGTAGTGGCTTGTGGAAATTCAAACTCTTATGGTGATTACCTGCTTTAAGAGCTCTAGAATCAATTTTCTGTACCTCTTGTGGTTCTTTATGATGAAGCCCTTAACCCTTTGTGGTTTAAACAGTTTTCCTAAAGTAAATTGTAACAGAACTTTGGAGACTACAACTACACAATATTTGTAAATTTAGACTAAGAAATCTAGATTGAATAGTGCAAATTTTCTATATCTGGAAATTTTATAGTCTCAACTCTTTAAAACTAAAGAAATGAATAGACAATACTGGTCTTGAACTCTACTGATGGAACGATCATTTAAAGTGTGATAATTGATTTGATTGAGAATCGGAGATTGATAAGCAATGTCATTCCGTATATGCCCAATGACTAGTAGATACTCACCTTCTCTGAGATATATCAAGATGATGTGAAAAACATACTCCTAACCAGCTATACTTTAGATATCAATTAGCTGACTATAACTATCCAATATTCCTATCTATTGAAATCCAAATATTAATCAAGCCTATCAATTGCAAGATTTAGTGATAATTTGAATGTAATGTACATTGCTGGCTAATATTAGCCCTAAACTAATGAAAACTTTAAAGTGAGTTCAATAATGAAATATAGTTTTATGAACTAGAGTACTACCTGGCAGTTTAATTACTAGATCCAAAATCAATCAATTTAATAAACCAAAATAATCGATATGGATGGAAAGTCTGACATTTAAAAGGCTGTTTATCACTTTTTCTCTTGTTCCTAGTCTATTGTCAATAGCCAAAAGTCATTAGACATTTTCCAGTACTTCACAGAAGACATTTCTGATCAGTTAATGTTGAAATCTTAAGTGATTTAAAATCCGATTTAGTTGCTGTAAAGTTGGACTATTTAGCCTCTTACATAGATTCAATCATGTAAAAGCGTGATAATAAGAGGAACTTTTACGAAGGCTATTGCTTTACTTGGATCAGATGATTACTAAGGGCTGAATACAATACTATATTTTGATTTAGTACAACTCAAATCCACTGATTTTTAAATGAGATTTATTGGTAGTACATATTCAGATATTTTAAAAACCTTCTCAGCTGTATATATTGGAAACGACAAATGGTATTTTGGTGGAAGTACTTCACGAATATCGAGAAAAACTTTCTAATATCAAATTGGCTTTATATCAACTTACCCCACCTCCGAATAAATTTAAAGCAATATAAATGCTAAATTGGAAATCAAAGGAGAACTCCAAAACTTTACCAGAGTTATTTAAGGTGAAAATTTCATAGCTACAAGCTATCAAAATCTAGAGTTGCAGTATGTTAATTTCACATAAAGTGATATAACTAAAACCGGTATAAGTAATTCTCTGAACCTGATAAATGGTGTTATATATCATGGCTAAATCAATGGAACTTATTATCTTCGTGCATTTCAAAAAGATTGACTCATGCCATTGAAGTTTGATTACTCAAATAATTGCAGTGATCTCTAGTTTACATACACTCTGACTGTAAATCCAATGCCCTACTCAGATGCAATTTTCAAGTATAATGGCACGGCTTTCTTGATAGATTCGAACTCAATGAATGATGTGGGTAACTACAGCATTTATATAATTGCTACACTGCCTAATCGAAGAAGGTCATTTGCAGTTTTCAGATTGATTATTTTACCACCCAAAGTTAAACCTCAATTTACTAAGAAATAAGAGCCACTTATGCTAGAGGGTACTATTAAAAATCAAACTGTGGTTATAGGACATTAAAAAAATTAAAAATTGCCAAGCATTATCCAATCAAAAAAACACGAAGATGCTTAATTCAACATATACCTGCTAGGGGACTAATTGAGTCCATCATTCATAACTTTGGAAAATAAAATCATGATAATCAAACCTACCTAACCTAGAGAAATAGGTGTCTATTTACTATAGCTAAACATCACAAATGATAATGGTGATCTTTACTCATAAAATTTCTAGATAGATATCATAGATGGTCTATCATTCGACTAAAGATAATCAATGTCTCAATATATTTGGAGTGATCAAATTATATCAAAGGACTGCATATGGATTAGTGAGGATACTTTTCCTAAAGTAACTATAGAGTAAATCAACTAAATAAGTTAGGTCTTGCTTAAAATTGATTATGGCAATAAGACAATCATTCCCTAGTTGAAAGAGCACATTTATTTACGAACTCTGGATGATAACAAGTTTAAATTGAGTCTAATTGCAGACTTTTCAAATGAAAATACAACAATGTTCTTTATTAGATATTAGCTAAGATTCGATAATCCAGAAATGATTTCATCATCTAGTAATAAAGACATATTGTAGATATTTTACTCACCGATTCACATTTACAATAATCATCCAAATTTTAATCTTCCTCTGTACTTTTAAGATGAAAAGAGAATACCTGCATAGTTTCCTAATGACTTTGATGAATAGAGTTTTGAATACTTTAGTTTGGGCTAAGAAATATTTACTTCTTCCCTCACTACTCTTTTCATTTCTAATATTGCATTAAGTCTGATAACTTCTAATGGTCTTCAATATGTGTGGAGCATGGTAAGTTCCTTACAGTTGATATCATATTTACCACTTCTAAACATTAACATACCAGCAAATTTGTACTTGCTTTTATCACTAATTTAAGGACCTTTGCAATTCAATTTTATTAACACCTAAGATCTTACTTAAGAGATGTTCCAAATTGATGATCTGGATAATAAACCCTCGTTGAATGATAGATTTGATAATTACGGATATAGTAATAACCTTGCAATCATCAATTTGCAAATGAGTTTCTATTACTTGCTGTGCTTCCCCATGCAATTTCTGGTTATATACTTCACAAAAAGTCTATCAAGATTTTCAAAAGTGTAAGATTAGTCAACATTTTCTTAATACCAAATAGTTTCTTATTCTTTCATAAGAAGCTGAAGAAAAATTTGTAGTATGATTTTTTCCTCTGCTTATTTGTTGAAAACTACATTTAGATTGTTCTCAGTTGCCTGATAAATATAATGATCCCATCATACTCTGGTATTGGTGATATATTCTCATTGGCACTCTCCTTCATACTTATTGTAAAACTATGCTTATTTATCAAAATATAGTGTGCTGGCTTTATCTTGCCCTTTTTTATAATATACCAAGGCCAAATATATTTTATGGCAAAGTATAGCCACTAAGCGCCAAACAAATTTGCTCTATTTTTCAAAGAATTTAAAAGTCATAGCAAATGTTCTCTCAGTTTTTATCTGATATTTGTTATTAGAAGATTGATTTTTAGCTTAAGTGTTCTGCTTTTGGACTATGATTAATCAAGTTAAATCTGCTTATTTATCCTAAGTTCATAGGTGTAAATTCTCTATTTATTGATAGTTAGACCTTACATAAAATAAATATAAAATATTGTTGAGATTATCAATGAATTAAGTGTGCTTTTGATTTCCCTACTTCTGCCAGTTTTCACTGATTTCAATTACAATTTCCTTAGTCAATATAATTTAGGATATTTGATTATTGCTATTTTGCTTTTGGTTACTTTAATAAATGCGATCTTCACGATCTATGATATCTATTTAGTAATGGCAAGATTTGTTAAGAGGATTGCTAAGTTTCTATCTAGAAACAAAATTCATGATGAAAGAATTGTACTTAATCTCCCTCTTGATACGAACCAATAAGCTCTCTGTATAAATTAGGACTCAAATAGTGAAAGTTCAGGATCAGGCTCCAATAGAAGTCGTAAAGCTTGGAGAAAGTTAATGACAGAGGATAATTTTGACAATTTGGAGATTAAATTCTACCCAAGATCTAAGGTTAATCTAAGTAATATTAATGAAGTGACGTTAGATTATGAAGATAGTGAGGAAAACGAATAATAAATTGAAGCCAGTTTTTAGTAAACAAGAAGATATTATTAGAATGATTAAGAGTGGGTTATGGATACCTTTGAGATCAATAGATCTGCTACATTTGACAGCAAATTGCAGTTTCCATAATGTTGAAGTATTTAAAAATATTAATGCTATTTTGATTTATTTTGATTTCTATAATTTACAGATATTCAGGCATGATGGGGTTTTGGGGTTTTGGGGTTTTGGGG